TTAGCAGGGCCAGAGTCTCAGAGTCCCTATTACTGGGGGGCCACCAGGGCTGGAGACAGTTAATTAGACTGACCAATGCTTTTAGTTCCCTCCCCGACTAATTGTTTTAATTGATAGTGGGGACCATCTCATATCCATTGGCCCTGCCCTTTCTATCTTGAAGATTGCTACTCTTCCTGAGAAATTTGATTTAAATTGGAGAACTGGCATGTTAATTTCACATTCCGTTAGGAACCCAGGGAGGCACAAGGTGGTCTTGGGAAGAACGCCACTTTTGCCACAGGTTATAGGAACCAAGAAGTGTAGAGATCAATATTCATTCGCTATTTACATGTCTCCTAAAAGTTACTTTATGTAGAGGCATGTGAAGAGTCACAACTTTGCTGGGGGTGAGGGGTAAATTTTATTCGGTCAAATGGAGAGGCATGGCTGGCATGGGAATTTCAAATCTAGGCAGTTAGGTCACCTTCTCTACAAATAAACTTATTTTTTGCTTAATACCAACCTTCCTGCATAAAAGTCAAAGGTGATTTCTAAGATTATGCACTGACTCTTGCTAACTAGGAATTAGCCCTGACTAAAAGTAAGGAATACTTTTAAAAAATAATCACTATGAAAAATATGGAGCAAGAGTTACTTTAACAGGATCATTAGATCCAGGCCAGGATTCCAAACAGTCTGTTACATGCTAACACTAAAACTGTAGGGGAGCTATGCATAAGAGCAAGTGCATTTTAAAATTATTATTAGTTTTTTTTTTTTAGTGGAAATCTGAGTAAGGAGGAAAGCTTAGGCCCTGCTGAAAACTCCTGGGGGATTTTAAAAAGACTTTCAAGAAAATCTGCCTTAAAAAAAAGAAAGAAAGGAAAGCCCAACAAACAAACGAAGACTGCAGTGTTGGCAGATGAGTTAAAGCGAATGCGGAAACTCACCATGACCATAGCAGTGACAGGTACCTCAGACTGGGGAGCTCACGTTTCATGTACACTCAATGGACATTTATAACCAGGGATCTGTCAGGGTTGGCTGTAACTCAGAAAGCAGAAGACGGCTAGACACCTGTCAGCTGACAAGGGACTTTAAGAGCACAAGTACACGTGCAATAATCATGCTTTACATTTAAATAATGCTTTATAGCTTATTACCACATTTTTTAATAAGCAGGGTCCTTCCTGAACTAGAAACTCTAGTCTCCTTCACTTACCTTGCAGTCTTTGAGCAAAAGTCCCTGACATTTAATCTCTGAGCTTTTGGTTTATTTGCCTATGAAATGGGGTCCTATCACGTTTTTATTGCCCAAGGCTGTTTCAAAGGACAAATGTGACTCGATGAAAGGCTTTTAAAAATACCATAAGAATGTGCTATCATTATGCGTAATCATTACTATTACTGGTTACTAATAACTGAAGGCAGTGAGCCTGTCCCTTTCAAGTCAGGAGGACATACACAGAAAGACAATATACCCCACTTTTCTTTGCTTAATACCAGTTTTCCATGGTATATACAATATGGGGAATTATAAAAATTAACCTAGATGTATAGCAAAAAGTTTTTTTTGAGAGAAATCTATGGGAAATCCGATTTGAAAAGGCACGGAAGAATTTCAGCCTTTGAGAAGCATGAAATACTACTGGGAGGCAGAGAATGAAAAATCATAAAAGTCTCTCGTAAGGCTAAAAATTTTGTGCCATGGTAAGCCATGTCCTTCCCACTGCACCAAACAGCTCACTGGAGGCATTTTGAATATGGAAAAACGGCTGTATTGGGGAAAAAAAGAAAAAGGCACTCCTGCAGGATGGGAGGCGGTGCATCACGGGCGTACCTGGGTGGCATAAATAAGTTATCATGCAATTAAGTGAGATTCCCTGTATAAATACAGTGTCATGGCAGAATGGCCATTATTATATACACCATTTGCCTGCACAATTTTAATAAAGGCAGCAGATACTAAGACATTTTAGCGGCCTTCAATTCTTAAAAAAGAGAAAAATCACACTCAAATTAGGTTTCAAAAACCATGTTTAAGCCATCAACTTCTAAAGGGCAACAGAAACATGGAAACAGCCTATTATTGGGTAGTGCTGAGTAGGAAAAAGGCTTCAACTCTAAGATATACCAGAATTTTAGTCATATTCTTGATTATCTATCTATCCATCCATCCATCCATCTTCTTTTTTAAGATTCCTTGTGATATGGTTAGGCTGCTTGGGCAATAAAAATGGAGAGGGTATATATACACAAGCACACACTCTCGCACATTTTTAAAGCAACAAATGAATCTGCATGTCACAAATTAGGAACCATATCAAAGGATGGTCATCTGATCTGCATTTTCAGTGGTGAGAATATACGGGCATCTTGTTTCCTAAGTTGGGACTAGAATGTTAGTAAAAAGTCTTCTCCTAAACATGTCAGTCTTCCTCCTCCCCCTCCTCATTTGGTAACTCAAACCCAGATGGGGCACCTCTCTCGTCACTTTGCAAAATGAAGCTTGATTAGAAATTAGCCTGGCTTGACAAATCGCACTGCCACAGCAGGTGACACTGGCTATCTGAATTCAGGTTCATGCTAGACATGGCCTGAGGTTTAGTCTCCTGGACTACACTGCATCCAAACGAGCACCCTGGGAGCAGAGCCAGGACAATGGCAGGGTGACCCCAGCAAACTTCCTTTTATTAAGGTTGATTTCCTCCCCTGATACAAAATAAGGGTAAGCAAGGGAATTTTCTAGTATTCTTAAGACTTGGCCCCAGACATGGACAGTTTGCTGCAGAGATGATGTTGGCATAATCTATGGTATAAGCCTCCATTCCTGATTTGAGTGAACTGAGCTCCCCTCTCCCCAGACCCTCAGGATAGAGCACTTAAGACCTAGAGCAAAAGTGATTTTAGAGGAGAAAGTCTGCTGGGAAAGCTTCATTCCACAATGAGGGAACTGAGGCCCCAGCACGTAAGGGACATGCTAACCAGGGATCAAGTGCACACTCTCCCTTGGCTCTCCTTCTGCACCCAGTTTTGTCTTCTCTCCATCACAGGTTTGCTTCCTAGACCGACATGTGGAATATGGAAACGGAACAGTTATGGCAAAACCAGTTGTCTGCAGGAAAATGGGGGCACTGTCACTTAAGGCTCTGTGGCTGGGACATCTGAAATTTAAAACTATCTTCCTTTTGTATGCTTTTGGGAAAATGATGTCATTATTTCCCTGGTTGGCATCAATAAAATGACCATCACATTTAAAACTGTGATTTGTGAGAGACACACGTCACAATAGCATACAGTTAGGTCCATAATGTCATTAATAAAAACCATCACATTATAAAATATTCAACAAACAAATGTAGCACAGCCTTAGAAATTGTGATCCTGAAGTCCCTTGAAAGGTATTAGAGAATAAAATGAAGAAATCAAGATTGTGGAGCGTCAGTTTTGAAATTTTCATTTAAGCCCCACATTCAGATCATTGCTGCTAATTGCTGGTTTTACTAACTGTGGCACAGAAGTCCACGCCCCAGATTGGAGCTAAGGAGGGTATTGAGGAGGGGACAGTGGGAGGCGGGACAAGTGGGAAGGGCCAGGGAAGGATTTGGAGATAGGGGACAGGGGCTTGTGGTGGCGGGAGGAAGGGGGTCCTGGAGAGGGGAGCGGGCGCTGCAGGTAGAAAAAGTGAGGCGAGAAGGAGGGGGAAGGTGGGGGCACCAAAGGTACCCTTCTAAGAGGATTATGAACGCAAGACCTTCTTGGGTATCCCAAGCCCATTTGCAGAGGATCTTACCTTTGAGCCTCTTTGCCCCAGCTAAAACTGCTTGAAAACATTCACATGCAAATATTTACATATCTCATAAGTCATATTCACAGTTTTACCACATTTGGTCAACACACTTAAAATACACTCGAAAGCATTTTTTTTAGTTTTATTTTAATTGCATTTCAAACACAAGACGGCATCCCACTCACAACGCATAACCCCTCTCTTTTTAAACCAAGCCCCTCCTACTGTGCTCTTTATAAATCCGTAAGTGATTGGCTTACCTCAGGCTCTTCCCTAGGAAAAACATGATTTCATATTTTTTAAACATAGCCACGCCCACCCCCTTGGAACCAGCCCAGTGTGGTTTTGGATCCAGACTTGCCTACGGCAGGTTAAGTGTCTTTTTCCCCCTCCTCCCCCCACCCCCCATTCAGGTGAGCCGAATGTGTGCAGAATACCAAACTTATGTGCGTAGCCCCGGACGCCCCAGATACCTGAGTGTCTGGTTTTTCAACCGTAAAGGCGGGAGGGTTTGGCGAACGAATGTGAAGTGAGGAAACGCTTAGCGCAAAGGGAAAAAAGAGAGAAAAGACATACAGAAAAAAGGTTATGGAGGCCGGCGGGAGGCGGTCCCCTCGTCCCCCAGCCAGTGGCCCAACTTGTTACCCAAGATGTCCCACCACCTTCTCCTCCGCATTTTTCGCGCCGCCCGCCGCAGAGCGCCAGCACACAGGTACCACCACAGTGTGCGAACACGGAAAGTTTCTGCCTGCACCATGGCGCAAAACACAAGACAGCCCGTTCCCCGGTACAAGTACACAGTCGGCGGGTAATTTGGGAGAGCCGGGGTGGGGGTGGGGGTGGGAACTGGAGGACGCTTGAGCATATCATGCACAGGCGGACACAATATGGACACCAACACACACCAACAACAAGCTATCTGAGTCCAAGCAGCCGTGCCAGGCGAGGAGGGACGCAGCTTCCCCAACGACCCCAACCCACGGTAGCCCCAACCAGCCTGGCCAGGGAAACCCCGGGGCCCCTCCGCAGCAGTTCCAGGCTCACCTGAAGCCCCCGCCTTTCTTGCCGGCCCCCACCCCAGGACTCGCGGGCATCTTACGGTCGCTGGCGCTGGCTTGTCCAGCTGGAAACGACCCTCATTGTTGTACGGCACCACTTTTCTCCCTAGAGGGCACATACTTCGGCCACCCAAACCCACCCGAGCCCCTCTCCCGGTCCCGGGGCAAAGTTAGGGCCCCTCACTGGAACTTTCTAGCAGGCTCTTCCTGCTTTTACCCAGACCTCCTCCTCCCGCTGCCAGGCCCCGAGCCCCACCGGGCAGCCCTGCCACCCCCTCCCGGGTCCCCCGGCGGCCCTGCTCCCCGCGGGCAGAGTCCGCCGCATTACCTAGAAGCAGCAGGCGGTGCGTACACATGTAACCCATCTTTTCGTCCTGGAGTTGCTTGTCGATGAGCTTGCTGCGTTTCTTCTCTGCGCGCTTCTGAGCACGCTTCTCCAGGGCTTCCTTGCGCATTTGTCTGCGCTTCTCCGCCAGAGGAACCTTCTTGACCTTGGGGCTGCGCGGGGCTTTGGGCTGGGGGCTCTCAGATCCACCGAAGCAGCCTCCGAAAGCTTGCGTGAGGAAGTTGCGGAGCAAGTTGCGCCGGGGCTTTCGGCGGCGGCGATTTCGCCGGGGCTGCACCCAGCGGTGGCATCCGGAGGTCCCATCGTCGGATTCGTCTCCGCTGCTGGTGACCGACCCTTCGTCGTCGTCGCGGCCGCGCTCAGACCTGCCCCGCCAGGCAAACGCGCGAGTAGGCTGCGGAGTAGGCGGATCGGCAGCCTGGATCTCGGGGCTGGGGGGTCTAAGGAAACGGAGCTTAGGTCGGGCTCCAGAGGCAGGGGCAGCAGGAGCTGCCCGGGCGGCAGGAGCGGCTGGGGCGGCAGGGACTGCCCGGGCGGCAGGAGCGGCTGGGGCGGCAGGGACTGCCCTGGCGGCAGGAGCGGCTGGGGCGGCAGGGGCTGCCCTGGCGGCTGGAGCGTCAGGAGCGGCTGGGGCTGCCCCGGCGGCAGGAGAGGCAGGGACCGCGGGAGCGGCCCCAGCGGCAGGGGCTCCTTCCCCGGGAGAGGAGACTTTTCCTCCCTCCGCGGAAGCGGCGGCTGAGCCTCTTTCCATCTCGGCTGCTTCTCCCTCAACTGGGGGTCCCTCTCCCTCCGCTCGCGCTCTCTTAACTGGGGCTCTGGAGACCTCGATGGGCGGGTCGTCAAGCGCGATTGGGGGGCTGTCCATGTTGACGGGAGTGTCGTCGACCCCAACGGGGGTGCTGCCAATCTCGAGCGGGGGTCCGGAGATCTCCATCGGGGGGCTGTTACCCACGAAGTGTGAAGGAGGTCTGACAGCCTCTCGGGATGGGCTGCCGATGGCGCCTGAGACCCAGAGGGGGGGCTCGTTCGCGGTGGGAGTGAGGAAGACCTCACTCGGGATCGCGACTGCCGTGAACTGGCCGCCATCACCGCCGTCGATTTGCGGGATAGCTCGGGGGAGCCCAGGGGGTGGGCTGTCGTCCCCAAAGGCTGCTCCATCAAACTCAAATGGCATAGCCTCCTCAGGGGGAGGGCTGCAGCTTCCTCTAAAGCCTGCGTTTGGGGGCCTGAGGGCTTGGGGCTCCTCGGGTGGAGGGCTGGAGACCCCCGCCCCTGGACCTCCTGGAGCAAGGTCTGAGACCTGCAAGAGAGGTTGGCTGCAGCCTCCCTGGCCAGGCTGCTCAAACTCGAAGGGCATGGCTTCTTCTGGTGGAGGGCTGTAGCCTCCCAGGCCTGTGCTGGCATCACGGAAGGCTCCGGGCTCCAGGAGTGCTGGGCCGAAGGCCCCAAGGTCTGCTTGGGCCTTAGTGGTGTCTCCAGGCTGCTCCAGGGTAGGCCAGAAGGCTCCCATGCTGGGCTGCTCAACCTCGAAGGGCATGGCTTCCTCAGGAGGTGGGCTGTAGCCTCCATGGACTCCGACTTCCTCGATGGCCTGGCCAAGGCTCTGGAAGTTGGGCCTGGAGACCTCTTGGGGTCCACAGGCCTCGCCTTCAATCTCGATGGGGATGGGCTCGCTGTTAGGCGGTTCGGTCTCCATCTCTTCGGCTGGGCCAGGCCCAGCACTGGGGGCAGCTGCCCCTGGGGCCTCCAAAGATGGTTGCTCGGGCTGTTCCCCGAGTTCAAGGGGGATATCGCGTTGTCCTGACATATTATTGCCGTCGAGGCAGTTGCGCAAGCCCATAACACGGTGGCGGACTCTTAAAATAAACTTGGGGCCCCGTAAAACGGAGCACCCAACCAAACTAGGGTGAAAAAAAAATATTTAAAAAAAAATCAAAGTACTAGCTAGAAAGTTCTCCAATTTCACTTTCCAAACCTCTGTGAGGTCTGGGGGGGTCAGGGCCTCACACCCTAGACCGTGGCAGAAGCAACGCTATTTGTTGCTGGTAGTCTTGGTTCCTCCCTGGCCACTTTTTATCCCCTCAGGCTGCCCCCCTGGCCCCCTTTGGCCTGCCCTTGTCCCCTCCTCTCTCTCTCTTTGCTCCAGGCCGGCCCCGCCTGCTTGGATCTGAGGAGCGTGCCGATTCGGTCCGAAAATCGTTCGTAGTGCTCTCTCTCTGCCACCAGGGGACGCCGGCCCTGGTGCCCAGGCGGCTCTAGGAGCCGGATCCTGGCGCCGACAGCCCCGGACTTTGGGTAAGGGGGCTGATGAGCGCAGGCCTCGCAGGGACGTTTTGGCTCCTTCCACGCCTCTCCCTGACTGATTTGGAGTCTTTCTCCCCTGGCCAGAGAGCTCTCCTGCGTTGCGGGACACGTGACGCAAGACGTGGGCCCTGAGCTGCTTGAGCGCAGGAGCTGAAACCCTCCCTCCCGGACCCAACTGACTCTTCTCGGGGGGAGGGGGGACTGCAGGAGGGTTTCATCACCTCAGAATACCCCTGAACCCAAGCCGCAGCCCCCAGCCCTGTGCAGCCTCGGATCCTGAGCCCCAAGTCCAGAGCGCAAGGCTTTGGGCGCGTGGGAAGGGGGCAAGGGCGCGCAGCAGATATGCGACAGGTGGTCGTGAGCCCACCAGCGGGGTGGACAGGAGGTGAGGGGTGAGGGGCTGCCAAATGTGCGCACACAATTTGTTTTCAAAACGCTTCGGGGTACTTTCCCTGGCTTCTGCAGTTTTTATTTGCCGGCTTGCCGAGGCTGGCTCCTTTGTAAAGCACTTTGATGTTCCCCATCCCCACCACAGTCTTGGGGTCTCCGTAGTAGCCCAGGGTGGCGCAGGAGGTTTTCTCCTCCGTTTATGTGGACGATGATTCAGGAGAATAAGAGGGTCTCGGGCGCGTACCATGGAGACCCTCCAAGCGGTAGCCGCCGCGGTTCGGAAGAGGGGTCGGGGCGGGGGGCGCAGGATGTACACCAGGACCCCATGAGTGGAGCCCTGAGTTCTGGGGAAGAGTTAAAGGGGATTTTGGTTGGGAGTTATGGCTAGTTTAGGGTGGTCTGAGAGTCTGGACAACTCTGTGCGCGCCGAACCCAAAGACACCGTGCCGTGCCGGCAGCCGCTTGCTGCTCCGAGCCTCGGGCACCGGTTGCAGGGTCGGTCAGTCGGCTCCTCTAGTTCCTCTCCAGCTCCTCTCCAGCACCCCTCTGTCCCCTGTCCTCTCGCCATGGGTCTCCCAGGGCAGCCGCTTTACTTTTCCACTGCTAGCGTCCGCTGAGGCGGCACTAAGCCCGGCCACAAACCCAACGGTCGCCCGGCTGCGCTCCCATCGCCGTAGAGCGTGGAGGGCTCAGAGCCTGCCGGGGTAAAGACCTGAACCACCTGGGTGGGCTCTGCGCGTGCATGCCTAGTGCTCTGGGTCTGGGGTCTGCGAAGGATTTGAACCCCGGGAAAAAAATGCTACTTGTAGATCACATAAAACCCGGGACAGGGGCATCAGGTCTGTCTCACTAGCGGGTGATGCCAGCCACCTTTGGGCGCAAGGCGGCTAGGCATGGGGGTCGGCGGTAGGCCCCCCCCAGCGGGGGAGGGAAGGATGGTGGGACGAGTGTTACATCGGGTGGGCTGCGGCAAGCGGGGCACACCACCTGGATCGCTGTATCTACGAAGCACAGGCGGCAAACCACGCACGGTCCAATCTCGTTAAGTCTAACGCACCCCTCTTAGAACGAGGGGACCACAGCTACTGTGCATCGTTGCCCCCGCATCCACCATCCCGTGGCCACACCGCACAGAGGAGAGCTGATAAAGTCGGACCCCGAGTAATGTTTGGGGCCCCCCAAAGGCGTATCATCTCAGCTCTATGAGTCTACACACTTCCAAATACCAACACTGAACTTTGGTTCAAACTTTCACCAACTATCCCTACACGCACCGGCTCAGCCACTTGGCCATCCACTAAATGGGCCAACTGGGTCACAAGAGTCAACTCGCTCCCCACCGACCTCAGCGCTGGGTCAGCCATTGGGCTGGGGTCACGTCAATCAAGGCTGCCTGGCGAATGAGCAGGGGGTATCGGACCGGAAACCGGATATGAGGGGGAGGTCCAATAGGGGGCGCCGCGTTGGAAAGCCCTAAGAGATTGTGTTGCTGGGGTGGTTGGAAGCGGTTGGTGGGCGGGCGTATGGCGGCCAGGCCTGGGACGCCACGAGGCTGGCTGGTGCCGTGGGGGTCACTCTTCCTGATGCCACAAGTCACAAGGACTAGAATGGGAGGTTGGTGGCTCTCAGGGGCCAACCCTTGGTCTCGCTGATGGCGGTGAGCAAACCTACTCAACAGAGGGGGCTGCCACTGGGGCAAATCCAGGAGGAAGAAGATTTCCAGGGCCTGGGGCAAAGGACCATGATCCCGAGGAGGGAGAGGGCTTACTGCCCCAATGCAGAGCAGCAGCCTCAGATGGATAAGGAGTTGATGCCCCAGGGATGCCGAGCCCTGCGAAAGTGGAAGGTCAGTAGACGTTGGGGTTGGAGCTCCAGGGATGCCGCGACAGGGGCCCCAAAGGGATGGCTTGCTCTCGCCAGGCCTCGCGCTCGGCCCACTTCACTTGGGCTCTTTCCCAAAGTATTATTCATCAAGGAATGGGTAGAGGGTGCCTTTGTTCGACATCCTCCTGGGCCTGTGGGACCCCTGTGTTCAGTACTCTTCTGGTATCTTGGTTCTTTGCCAGGAGAGCACATGCGTTGAGGGGATAAAGACTGGGCAGATACCAGTCCTCCATCCTAAAGGTAAAGCAGCATAAAAACGAAAGAAAAGACCTCCAATTGGGGGAGACCTGATGGAGAAAATGGCGTTTCAAATGGGTCTCCATGGAGGGATAAAATGCCTTGGCTATGAATAGAAGATATGGGGGATGGGAGACGTTGGCCTACCAGGAACAAAGATCCAATGGTAGGAAAAACAGCACATGGCTGGATAAAGACCACAGGCTACCTTGTGGGGTCCTGGGGGAGCAGCGGGAGAGAAAGCAGGAAAAATTGGCTAGGATGTCTCTGAGGATACCATGGAATATCAGGGCAAGCAGTTTTGAGGCTATTTTGGTAGGAAATGGAGCAGAGGTTGAAGTTTTTTTGTCCTGCAAGTGAAGATTCGAGCCTAGTTTTAGGAAAAGCTGAAGCAGTGTAGAGGATGGTGCCGATGAAGAGAACAAAGTGGGCTGTGACTGGTCATGACCTTTAAAGAAGAGAGAACCACACTCAGCGAAGGAAAGAGGAAGGCTGAAGGAAGGGACTTGAGGGATCTTAAAGGACCCTCTAGAAACTTCTGCGCTAGAAAGGCACAAAAGGTGGAGTAGCCAAAGTTTGGCACCTGGATGATGGGACACGAGTGAGACTGAGGGGAGGTGGGGATCTGGGAGGAAGTGGCATAGAGCTGGAGCCAATTTTATTTTAGACATGGCAGAGGGAAAAGAAGGATGGGCAGTCTGGATGGAGACTTTTAAAGCCTATTATTCAGAAGATGGCTCTGAAGTTTAGAAGAAAGGTAAAGTGACAGCCCTCCCTTTTAGGATATGAAGTCACTAGGTCAGATAATACCCTCAAGGGGAGAAATATATTTGGCAATAGAATCTTAACCATTTGGAGCACTGGAGAGGAAAAAGGGAGACATCACAGGAGAGAGCAGGGGGGCTTGGAAGGGACTGGTGGGGTATACCAGAGGGAAGAATTTAAGAATCGGTCAGCCCATCTAATCTAGACCGTGGTTTCTCAGCCTCTGCACTGTTGACATTGGGGGCTGGGTAATGCTTTGTTGTGGTGACTGTCCTGTGCATTGTAGGATGCTTAGCAGCATCCCTAGCGTCTACCCACTAGATGCCAGTAGCATCCCCTTAGTTGTAGCAGCCAAAAATGTCTCTAGACTTTGCCAAATGTCCTCTGGGGGGCAAAATAGCCCCCAGTTTAAACCACTGCTTTAGGCTGAGTAAGGACCCTTAGATTTGAAGAGGAATCACCTTAAAGGTAAATTAGGACCAGAAAGAAAAATTCCAGTATTTAACTCTGACGCTCCCCTTTTTGTCCTCTCTTGTTTATTTTTCTGTAGCGATTGTCCACCAGAATCTGAAAACCCTGAATCACTTGGGTGAGTGGGGTTCAGAGCTGAGACTTCACCGTTCATCAGCAATGGGACTCGAGAGACTCCAGAAGTGTGGCCAGATGTTTGAGGAGCTGACTAACTCACTCTAGCTGGTGGCCTGGCCACAGGGACCTGAAGAACCAGTATGGTAAGAGCTGGGGGTGATCAGCTGGTGGGTGGACTGGGGGCCACCCTGATTGGTGGGACCGTCTGGTGAGCCCACTCGGGGCTGCCTATCTTGCCGGCTCACGACAGAAATCTAGCCTTGCCCTGGATGGAGATGGCCAGCGATGGGTTGTGGTGAGCAGCCCAGGCCAGGCCTAACCCCACCAGGGCACAGCTTTTAGGGTTTGCCATTATAATTTTATAATAGCAAAATACCTTTGATCATATATTTCCAATTCTGGTTGGATTTCTATCAGGGAAAGAGGTAAATTTTTGATAGGAGTAAGCAGGAACAAGGAAGGAAAGTCAGTTAATGGGTTCACACGGACTAGGAGGAGGAAGGCCAGACAGGCTAGTCAGGGTGCCTGAAGACAGACTGAGCTGAGGCGAAGGACAGGATCTGCGCGCTGGGCTCTGGACCCTGTTCTCACAGGGACTGGGCAAGAGAGAAGGGCTGCGTGAGATCTGAGGCCATTAGCGGAGGAAAGGATAGCTGTCAAAATCCAGGTGACGCTTTCGTGAAACTTGTCTATACTCAGCTGCTTGAAAAGATTTTCTACACTCGCTGAATTAAGAAAGGAATGGGAGATGTTACTCGTGTTTCAGTTAAACTCTGCACTTCTAAGGAAAGTCAGCCTGTTAGACTAAACGACCCAGATGCCACTGTAGCAAATCAGCTGGCTTTTTGTAAATAAGTAACCCCAAATGGAAAGAAAGTATTTCTTCACTGTTCACTCTCTGAATGGCACCATTGCCACCTGCAGGGATGTAGCTCTCATCCTTGGCAGCCCCATGTGATGCCCTGGGCTTCCCAAACTCAGTGTCACTGCTGGACTGATGCCTCCATGGCAGCACGCGTGCTAAGCAGCAGACACCTGTTAGTATACTTACATCTGGGGTTCTTCCTCATTGCCAAAAGCACAAAGCACATCCAAACTTTAAGTAGCTGCCTGTCACCTTTTCTCCTTAATTCATCTCCGTATCCAAGAAAGAGAAAGCAAAGTAGAAGAGGGTCCCTTGAGAGGGAGGGGAGGTGGGCAAGAGGGAAGGGAGCAGAAACCGGGAAAAATGATCTTTGGCAGTGGCATCTCCTCCTAGCCTGCGGTGCTGGGGGCGGGGGAGCGGGGAGCAGTTTACAGAAGAGCCTTCTCTGCATCCCACTCGTGTCATTAGTGGTCTGTGGGTTTCTTTCAAATGAGGAAAAGGAGACTCTTTTCACCAGTTGTGAAGAAAAGGCAAAAGCAGAAAGGAGAGAACATAGGAAAGAGAATTCAGGCAACTATTGCGTTTCTCAGCCTCCCAGTAACAAATGTTTTCTGAGTGCTGACTGAGGAGCAATAAGACTTTGAAGCTGTTCAATTAATTACTGTTCAATTAAGACTTGCTGCGCCCAGGCTTTTACCTTCCAGCATCTCCTCTGCCAGCCTTGGCCGGTGGAGGCAGCAGCAGCCTACTGCTGTCTGCAGAAGGGTCTGCGTGACCAGGCTGTTTCAGACAAATGCCAACTGAAGGGAAAATGCCTCACATGGAGGAGGGTTAGCAGCAGACGCGGAGCTTTTATTAAAGACAGTGGAAACCAGACTTACGAAAATACTTGATCTTTGCAGACTAAAAAGCCCCATGCTGAAGCCCCAGAGGCCAGGGGTCCCCACCATGAATTCAGGCCCCTTCACTCAGCTCACTAGCCATACTCAGCAGCCCTCTTCTTGGAAGGGCTGCCCAGCTCTACCGCAGCCAGGCACACAACTGTCAGCTGACCACCACATTTTCTACAGTCGCCTGAACTGGGCTATAGACTCCTTCTCCAGCCTAGCTGATGATGCAGCTGAGAATTTCAAGGGGAGAAGTGGCCGGCCATTCCAGAAAAGATGAACAGTACCATGAGAAGGGACTAAGAGAGGGGCAAAAGCCGGGGCTGGGATGGCGAGAGGGAATCCCAGGAGATAAATTTGGCTTTAAGGGAAGCTCTGTTCAAAATTTCGGTAATTCATGGTGGAAATTCCAGGCACCCTGGGGGCTTCTGGGCAATGTGATTTGAATTTAAGGGGAATGGTATATTTCACCTTCTCGCACAACCTCAATTACCCAGAGCGCATTTTCCTAATGAACTCTAATTGAGACAGCAACATAAGCCAGGGCACTCAGAGAGCAGCTCTTGCCTGGGGGGAGGAGAAACATGTCTTCTTCAGTTGGCTGGCAGTCCTTGGCCCCGAGCCCCTCACACTCCTCAAGTTTGAGAGTTGGGGCCTCTCCCTGAACTGAAATCCAAGACTTAGGTTTTGAACTATAAAACAAGATTTCTTACATTTTAAATGTTTCTGTTTGGTTGAAGCAATTGAGGTACATACATGAAAACTTCACTCACTTATGAAATTGAAATTTCTGGGCCAGGTCTGTAAGACTGTCGGGGGACAGTGACATTCAGGATAGCCAATCTGAGATCCCCATTAGTGCCCTCCATCGCCATCCTTGGCTATTAAGAATACGCCTCCTAATGCTGAGCTCACGTTGCTCCAGCTGCCACTAGATATCTGAAGGTTGTCATGGAGTCTCCCTAAACCTTTTTCTCCTTGAATTTATTTCTTCCAACTATTCTTTCTACCCCTAATATTTGTGGGCTTTGTGACTCCCACCTCCAAATCCTATCTTCTCCTTCCCCAGTGCTCATATTTCCCTATATCTTCCAGTTTTTCTGTGACCCCCCAAAACCTTTGTTTCCTTTTGTTGTCCTCAAATCCTCCCCCACGTTACAGCTACCACCTCCCCACTGTCCCACAGCCTCGTCTTCCTCTGGCCTTTCTGATAGCTGTGACCTCACCTGTTAACTTGGAACATGCTCACCCTCAATAAGCCCATAGAATAAAAACAGGTCGTGTCCACACATGAAGCCAGGAAGGCAGCCTCCCCAGTTCTACCCTGGAGTCGGGAGTGGGCAGGGGTGTGGGGTGCCATGGTGCCAGCTCCTCTCAGATGTCCTGCCCCTACTGGCTGAGCGCTGTCAACAGGTGTTGGTGGCCCTGCACTGCGGACTCTTGGCCTGGGGAGAACGAAGTCACTAGGCTGCTTACTCTGGCTTCTCTGCTGTGCGGATGGGCGGGGCACTAGCACCAGCATTGGTACCAGGGGTTTGGGGGGAGAAAACAAACTGAGATTTAAAAAAGGGAAAACAAACATCAGTCAAATTCCCCTTACAGACAGCCCTGTAATATGTGGCCGAAACAAGGTTAAAATATGAAACACAGTGGGATGTTAAAGCACTTCATTTGACATAAACCAGTTTTTTTTTTTAACAATTGGTTTGTTTATCCCATGCATTTGCAAAAGAGGCAAAAGTGTTTTGGGGGGCGTGCAAAAAAATATTAGCTGTTCCAAGGTCCTGCAGTACAGAAACAGATACACAGTATATCTATCTGTGGTATTACAATGTCATGGGTAAGGAGCAATTAACAAAAAATTGTCTGAAAAAGCTCCTGGGAGGGAGTGATGATAAAAAAAAAAGTGGGGAACACTGATTTATCCTAACTCGCTGCAGCCTCTGAGCCACTTTTCTCAGGTCTAGCCTAATCAGGACACCTAGAGGTGTTACCAAATAATATATTCAACACTTGTGGTCAGTTACCCTCGTTGCTGTCAGTCTGCTCTCTCCCGGAGCCGTTTGCATCTCCAGGCTGCAGTGCTCAGTGCAATGCCGGCTCCAGGCTGTCGGCGCCCACTCTGAAAGCTCGTTTTCAGACACGAAGATCGGGGAGAGCAGGTGGTGAGCACAAGCCCACATAAGACAAACTCTGAAGGGCTGCTTGGGGATGGCCCGTTTTCTCAGGTTAGTAACAGGACACAGTGGGATTCTGTATTCTCTAACTGGCCTCTTAACCATTTTTGCCACCAATTCAAAAACAGATTTGACAAATCAAAATTAGATCAACACAAAACATTTCTTCACAACTGGTGCTTTTTATTTGATCAATCTTTGAAAACGTTTTGGCTTCATTAGTGTTAAAATCATTGATAGAATCAAATTGGGTAACTGGGCTTCTTAAACTAATCAACCTGCATGTATTTGGAGCTGAAAAGGATGCTAGGAACATCTCATTAGCTACTTCATTTTCCATGCGAAGAGACTGAGGCAGAGGGGTGCTGGGTCTGAGCCGAGTCCGCCGGGCAGGATCAAGGCTAGATCTTTAGATCTTAGATCCTGATGCCCACCTCTGAGGCATCAGGATTTAGGAAACAGAGTCATTAATGTCAAAACCCTGCAGGGTAGGACAACGAATTCCGTCCCTCATTCTGGAACGTGGGAATTAAAGATGTCATTTGAGAATCTCGTCCCCTTTGCTGGGCTCTTTTTAAGAGAAGGGCAGTACTTGAGCTGGCATATGACATCACTCGCCTCTGGAAGCTTGATTTGATTTTGGTGATTTGTCTTTTGCTATAGGTCACCTTTCTGTTAAGAGACTACTTTCCCCAATACCATGGTTTCTGCTCAGTTTCTGCTCAATAGCTTCCCTCTGCGTTAGGAGCAGTGATAATACACAAAAATTAAGTAAAATCCATGCAGATTATTAAAAAAAGACCTCATTCTTGCCAACACCAAAGTTTCAGCTCGCTTCCTCATTAAACTTTCTATCACAGCTGCTAAAAATGAAGGCTAGAGAGCGAAGGGCTGTGAGCAATTCCAGGGAGGAAAAAGCTTTAAAGAAACATTATCTTAAAAGAATTCCAAACTTTGAAATCCCCAATTCTTGAATTCTGATAAACATGTTTTGTAAGGCAAACTTTAGAAGTAAACCTGCACTAGACTATTGACCCCTCACACAGTTTGAACTTTGCTGCATGATTTTCCAATTCAAAAATTTCAGTTCTAAGAGCAGCTTTGTCCAAGGAAAAGCCAATTTCCATTAAGCAAATGATTAGTGTCATAAAGGGGAAAATCCTCAATATTGGTGCATACCGTCACCTTTAACCAGCTCTGCTCTCCTCGTTTCTCTCTCCATTTGAAATATTACAACAGGCTGATAATTCACCTACGTGGTCTGTTCTTTGAGAGAACTTCCTCACCAGACAGAACCCGCCTGAGTTGAAAGGGCAAGTGAGCCTATTCAAATGCTAACCCATTTAGCAGGGTGAAACAAAGGACCAGTTGGGAGACTAGTGAGTTGGGAATGCTCGGAGAACTTGCCAGCAATGACTCTGGAATAGAAAGGCAGCTGAACCCGAGTGCCTCAGGTAGAAAGGTTTTGAAGCGTCTCTGTAGCAAAATGCCCTCTCCTGGTGGGTCCTGGGCACTTTCCCCGGGGGCTGGTGTAGTCCTCACTTGTTTTGTACGGTACCTAATGGCTTTTCCACCCTGGAGCCAGGATGGAAGGAGGGGGCGGGGGAGGGGAATTGAGTGGGGGAGGGGAACTGAGTGGGGGAGGGGTGGGTGGGTAACAGGTTTCCACAATCAGGCGGCTTGTGGAGGAGAGCCTGTGTTCCTAGCTGCCGCCCCCCGCCCCCCACCATGAACCTGGTATATTGCTTACAGTCAAGAAAGCAGCCTCCCGCATGCAGGCTTCCGTGAGAGGTGGGGCCGGGCGCTGAGGACTTTTTAAAACTTGTATATTCATCCTGCAACAAGGCAGCATGCTAATTTCTCTCATGAAAAACCTAGCTCTGCAGGAAAACCGGTCCCTCACACTAGCGCATCTGTGGAGGTAGCCTCTACACTGAAAAGCCCGCCAGAGAAGCCCACCACGACGCTAGCTGCTTCTGCCTATTCGCTAGGGACGTTTTACTTGGTGAACTGAAGCTGCTAAGACAATACTAGAGGCAAAACAGAACACTTAATGCCACAGAAAGGAACAGAGCATCACTGTTTACGTCAAGCAGAAATTCCAACTTTGAGGCGCTCCATGTCACTTAGGCAATTTACACTTTCCAGCTGAAGGCAGGGCATGCCCAGCCCCCCTGCACGCCCTCGGCTGCCTCCAGACTTCCGCGGCGGCTCGCCGCCCCGCGGAGCCCCCTGCTAGCACCCGCCTGTCCCGGACCACGAGGGAACACCACAACGGCTCCAGCAGCCATCCGTCAGCGCCGCAGCCCAAAATAACTAAGTTCTGGGACTCTGCGACGCCTTTCTCAGGGAAGACACCTGGAAGGAAGACCATTTAAAGTGTGTTCCTTCTGGTCGCGTTCTTTTCCTAGGAGTCTAAGAACCCGACCCGTCTTTTCATTTCAAGTCTCAAAATGCTTCACTTTCCCTCCAAATCATTCTCATCAGAATAGCTCACATCCGCGCGGAAAGGAGACGCGCGTGTACCAAGAAAAGATCAATTTTCAAATCGGGTGAGGTTTTGTTAATACATTTCACTTATCAGTGTTCTCCCCCAGGACTGGCGAGAAAGGCGCACTCCGCACCGAAGATGCGTTACCTGACTGCGGCCGTTTTTGTGCTCGGACACCAGGACAGTTTCTCCTCCAGGTTACAGATTCCAAACTTAGCTCCACCCAAGCTGAAAATGGCCGGTGCGCGCCGCCTCCCCTCCCCGAGGCTGGAGAAGCCGCCGGCGCCGGCGCCTGCCCCTGCCCCTGCCCCCTCTCGACCGATCGCCCAAGGACTTGCGTCGCGTCCAACACCTTTCCTCCAGCTCAGAGGGTGCCCCGCTCTTTGGGGACACATCTTAGAGTGTGATAGATGCGACCCCCTCCAGCCCATTCCGCTTTACCTTTCCTCTGGCGACCACTTCTTGGGCCTCTTAGCCCCTCTCTTTCACCCCCAGGGCCTTGCGCAAACGGCCCGGGACCTCTCCAGCCAAGCTGCGCCCAGCTTCGTGGCCAGACCAGCTGCCCCAAAGGTTGGCGATGCCCCGACGTGACCATGCTCGCGCCACCAACCCCAGTAGCCTGTAGGGGTATCCCCCACGACTCCCGTACCTCCTCTGCTCGCCCTCCGAGTGCGGGTGACTCGTGGGGAACCACCGGCCGCCCGGAGAAGTCGGCTCTGGGGCGCGCGGGCAGGTGCGCACACCCTTTGCCGCCGTCTCCGGCCCGGCGAGCGCCCGGAGGCGGGCGGTGGCGGCCAGGACTGGTGCACAGCCGTGGGGGGTACTGGTGCCGAGGTCCCGTGGTTCCAGATTGGAAGCTCCGGGACCTGGGCTCCAGGCTCTAAGTGTCTTGAGCGCCGCGCGCACGACTTGCCCCGGAGCCAGCAGTCTCCGGAGTTCTCGCCCAATCCCAGTCTGATTACTTTTTGCACATTGCAACAGTGTCGCTACAGTGCGGCTGCCCTTGTATTGTTAAAGTTGGCGCGCGCACCTCCGAACCACGTTTTGGCGCCGGCCAAGACCAACTGGTTTAACACTAGTCTCTCTAGGAGAGAAAAAAGAGCGTAAAACAAGTACTTACCCGTGCCCTTCGCGTGTGCAGCTGGAAACCTGGGGGGGATCCAGTAGTGCGTCCTGGAGGTAGGTTGGAGACCTCAGGCTGTCCCCAGAGGGGCGCAAGAAGCGCCCCACCGTCCAACAAGCCTTTGGCCACTTGGGCGCTCCTGACGCCCCAGGGGAGATTTGGGGAGTCCTTCCCAGCTTGCCCTGGCCCCCCACCTCCCGGGCGGGCTAGTTGAGGCGGCTCTATTCCCGCCTTCCTCCTAACCTGCTTTTCCTTTTCTCTCCCCTCGTGCCGCCGTTCCCACACCGACCCCAGGCTTCCCAGTTTAGCGGTGGGCAACCAACCTGGGTCAAAGAAAACAAGGAGAATCTGGGGCGCGTCCTCCATTAGTGACGCCGGATGGGGATGGGTCCCCTTTTGGAAGGAGACTCCGGGGATGGGTCGCGGCGGGTGGGCTTCTTCGGCTTGCAGCGGCGCTGCTGCTGCTTCTCCTTCTTCTCCTTCTCCTTTGGCTCCTCGGACTCTTCGGGGTCCCTCGGATCCTTGTCCTCGGGCTCGGGCTCCTCCCCCTCTCTGGGGCTCTGGGGCTCCTGAGTGCTGGGCTGCGCACGACTTGGGGAGGCGTCGGGGCTCCGCAGCCTCAGAGCCTGCAGGCGCTGGGTGAGAGAGCCCCTTTCGCCGAAAGTGGGGCGCTTGGGCACCACAGGACCGCGCTCGTCCTCGGGCTCGGTCTCGGGCTCAGTGGCAGGGGCGGTTTCGGGCTCGGTCTCGAAGTCGGTCTCGGACTCGATTTCAGACTCGGTCTCGGTCTCAGATTCGTAGTCGAACTCTTCCTCGTACTCTAGGCACTCGGGGAGGGATAGCTCGAGGTCTGCCTCCTCGTGCTCCTGGTCAGATTCCGGGGGCTCGGGGAACGCCTGGGCGCCGGAGCGGTGGTGGGCGTTAAGGAAGCTCCGGCGCTGCTGGGCAGCCGCGCGCTGCTGGGCGCGGGCGTTGGAGGTGGCAAGGGCGCGGAGGAGCGCGATGGAGCAGGAGAGCCAGAGGAGCGCGGTGGCTGCCCGGCGGCCTATGGGTGGGCACAGATCGTTGTAATTGTGGCGAGCTCGGCGCCACTGCTGAGCCCGGGACCTACGATCCATTCTCCTAGGCGCACACCGAGAAGCCGACCCGCCCTCTGGCTCTGCAGAGAGCGGCTCCGATGCGCATTGACTACTAGAGCCGAAAAAGGTGCACCTGACGAGGTGAGAAGCTGGATCCGGAGGTCCCAGCCCCACCTCGGTGTGAGGGGAAAAAGGGAAGCACCTACCTTCCTGACCACTCAACTTTCTAAAGCTCCGCGCCTCTGCTTGCCTCTGAGAAAAAAAGAAGGGATAGGAAAGGGGGAGAAAAAGTCTATCTCCTCCCGGGCTCCCCTCTCTAAGTCTCAGACGCTGCGGTCCAAGACTCGGGAGAGGTGCCTCCGCTGGTCCTCTCGCCTGGGAGAGGGAAGAGGAGACTGAGGCGAGGAGAGACGGGGAGGAGAGGTTCTGCAAAGTTGCGCGCCCGGACTTCTGCCGGGCATGTGCAGTAAGGAGGCGGGGGCGTCTCCCCGCCAGCTGCGCGGTGGCGCTGAGTCGGTGGCGCAGACCCTAGTGGGCCGGCAGGTGGCAGGAGGGATCCTTGTTTGAAAGGATTTGGGCAAAGCGGAGAGTGGGGGGGCCTGGCGGGTGCCAAGGAACAAGTGAGCGAGCTAGCCACAGGTTCCAGAACTTGGCTGCTGGGCATGGCATCTCCATGGGGTCCGCATCCTCCCCAACTTCTCCAGGGTTATCGAGAAAACACGAACAAAGCCCGAAGCAGCTAAAAACCAGACCACAACGCTCCAGATATTCCATGGGAATAGGGGTCTATACGTGAGTATTAATGATCCGGCCCCGGGCATTTTCCAAGGGCTTAATAGTCTGAATGGTAACCTGCGGCAGTCAATCATGAAACCACCTTTGGCAGAACTGCTGTAGTGACTGTAATTAGAGAAGTTTAAAAAATCCCCCCACACACACACACGCAGTCTCAATTGGCTAATTACATCATGGACAAATAAGCATCTTCGCTAAGAAGGACCCCCACAGACGGGGTGGTGGTTTGCAAGTCTGCAAACGCGTTGGTGGGCTGCCATGGGCTCTAGCTGAGAACGTATGCTGGGAGACAGACTCATTAGCCAGAACCACTAGTTAAGGGAAGTCTTTCCTGCGCTGATATTCAGTAGGTGCAGCCAATTCTTAGCCCCTGGGGGTGCTTCAGGGTGGTCAGCTATCGAGGAAACCTCACGGGCTACCCTTTAAAGCTCTTTCATAGATAGGTTTTCAGTAAAGTTAATTCATTCAGCAAATATTTATTGAACGCCTAGCACATGCTAAGCTCTGTTCTAGGTGCTGAAGGTAGATTAAAAAAAAAAAGAAAAGAAAAAAATCTTAAAATCAGGAAAGGATATTCAGGAGTACTCTACTGTTAGTCCGAGCATTACCCCACCCCGCATCCTTCCTTACCCACCAGGATTGTTTAATCCAGCTTGAATTCTATTGGCTCAACCAGAACATTAGGGTTAGGGAGTGGCTAGATGCCCCTAGATCATATTGTTGAACCCCAAAGGCTAAAAGGTGGGAGGAAATTTAGTCCATTTCTTTCTCAGCCCTGGAAAATCAATGAGTTCCATGTCCTCCCGGAGGAGGATCCCTGGAGCCATCCTTGCTCAGGAGGGGACGGTACTTTGGAAGCTCTTGAGTTCCATCTGTAACGTGACTGCTTCTTCTGGGTTGTACATGCCCTCCCTATTAAAATATGGAATGCCCCCTTTGTCATAGTGACAAGTCCAGAGTGGCATAACTCAGAGCAAAACCATCTTCTTAGAATCCATGGAAGTGGCAACAAGTTTGCTTCACTTGGGACACTTTGTCTTGGAGTCAATAAGGGTAAAGTTGAAGAGGCGTGACCTCTACTAATTCTGCTGTCCCTTTGGAGGTGGTCCACCAGGCGTCCCCTGCTGGTGCCTGTCCTGGTGGCTGAAGAGTCACGTGCTGTTAGTGCGGTGGACTTGCCGTCACACCGTCAGCACCAGGTCCACGTTAAAGTTGTCAGACCCAGAGCTGACACCTTAGTAAGATTCTAGCAACTGCTTTTGGTGTGTTGAGGTTTTTATTTCTGCATCTTGGCTGTGGACATTCTTGAATGTTCCTGACCTGGCTTCGTGGCTGTGTCTATCTTGTGTCTTGTGTTCTTCGAGTTAGTTTGTAGCATTAAAATACTGATTAGTCTAATAAAGTGGGGTTGATTTGGCACACCCCATAAAAGGACAAATGTCTGTAGTCTAGTTGTGCCCCACTCTAACACTTTCCAGAGAAACTGAGTTTTATTATCTCAAGTGGCCGGCTGGCTCCAATCATGTGGCTATTATGATGGGACACTGACCACGGCCATTGGGAGCTGAATATCTTAAATCCTGACCTCTCAGCCCTGACCAAGGGGGGACATTTCTAAAGGTTCTGCTCATATTGACCCACCTGCCTGCTTTCTTTCAGTTAGCACAGCCCCACTGACAGTGTATGGAACAGAAAGATGTCATTCAAATGGTTTTCAGGGCCCACTGGGAAAGAGATCAGGAATATGTGGGTGCTGGTGAATGCCCTTCCAAGGAGGTGAATCCCAACTGTCAGCAACAGGGTGGGTTACAATTCTTTAGCATACGTAAGAAAGTAGTTCGTTTTTCAGAAGGAGTGCTTTATGCCTATAATGGAGATGGCAGCCCAGAGCTGATCCACTAATACAGATACACCGAGATTGCCTGCATTATTAAAAAATGTGCATTACATAATACATATTTTTGGACTAGATTCTGCATCAGTAATGCACTTTCTTTGCAAGATGCATTTTAATCAGCAAACAAACATTTAACAAAACACTGCGTTTTAGAGCCTCAGTCATGTATAGTTACAAATACATTTCGGTGTATATTCTACACAAGGCTCCGGGAGGAGCAGGAGGACCGCACTGAGATGCTGCTCCATCTCCCGCTCAGAGCCGAGGTCGAGCAAATGGATCCGTGCAGAAAATGCTCTTTAAAATGCATTACGTGCATGATTTTAAAAAGTGCTTGCTGCAGAGTGAATTTCAAAAAGGAGCAAGTGGGTGATGAACGACCTCCGGTTGTTACCAGGCTAAGGAACACGGGGCTCTGTCTGTCTGCCGGTAAATAAAGTGTGGACATATATCACCTACAGGGCCCTGCTGGAGGGAGGCTCCTAAACCAGTTGGACAGGAAAACGCAGTTTCCAGTTCATTACAGTATTATACAATAAGGTTTTTATTTGGATGAATTGTGAAGGGTATTGTCTTCAGCCCCTTAAAGCACTGTCCTGTTGAAGAGGCATTAAGAGAGATTTTATGTGTCTCCAGAGGGCAAAATTAGAACCTATGGGTGGTAGTTACAACAGGCAGATTTCAGCTCAGCTCAGCCCAAGGAAGAATATTCTAACGATTGGGGCTCTGAAATGGAGTGGCTGTCAGGAGGTGGTTGGCTCTTTGTCAGGGTAGTGTTAAATCAAAGGACAGATGACCACATATTGGAGATGTTTCCCATGGGATTCACGAGCCTGGTAGAGTTGGAAGTTGACCCACCAAAGTTCTTTTCAGCTCCGATTGCGATTCCATGAAGGGCATCTGGAGGCCTTGGGACAGGGGCTGGGGGCTCCAGTAATGGCTGCGCTCTTCCGACTCTGCTTCTATTTTAGAAGCATTTGAAAGTACAAGTGTCTCAGTGACAGGAAGGAATGTTTGGGTGGCAGTTTCAGGACATGAGCAAACAGGTGTATGTGATGGAACCAGCAGTCTGTAGTGGAGCTTTCATAACCGGGGTAGGGCTCTCAGTCTCTGGGCTTCACAGCTCATTTGTTGAAGCAAAGAAATTAGTCAAGTCTGTCTATTAATTATATCGGTCCTCTTTGCCTCCCCTCCTGGAGCTGTCTCGGAAATTAAAAATGAAATTGACTATTTAGCAATCATGCATTGAGTCACTTCTGTGACCAAGACACTATTCCAGGCATCATGGGGAGTTGGAGGTAATTGAGAGTGAACAACTCCTGCCATTCAACAACATGCATATCAATGCGAAATGCCCCCAAATATTAAAAAGTGGATTGCCAACAGGTGCCAAATAATAAATCCTACACCAGACAGGTAAACGAGGGAGGCAAGTTGAGTAACTGTGGTTGCAGTCAGATGGAGAGGCATCTAGTGGTTTTCTGGAAGGGAAGGGTTTATACCTGGTCTGACTTGGAGATTTTGTTTTTTTTTTAAAGCCTGTAAGAGGATTACTTTCAATCCACCTGTTCCTGTGTATCTACCGTGTGCAAAGCCCTGTGCTGGTCACTCTGGGGGAGACAGAGATGAATCACATAAATTCTCAAAAGGCTTGCCAGGCTATTGTCATGGGTCCCACAGACACCAACACATTCTCCAAGATGAGACGTAAGATAAAAGATTGGTTCTTCTCTGCTAGGCGACTGGGTAAATCACTCTTGAACATATTTTTTGGACAGTCATTGGAAAGGACTATTTTGGGAGATGGAGAGCTTTTCAAACTTTCCTTTGGGTAGAAATGAATTCAGGGAGTGTGAAGTGTTTCCCACCCCTGACTGTGGCAATCAGCCAGACAGGCTTGAGCCCACTGAGAATTTGGCATTGCTCCTCCGCCTGCCCCTTAAAGAGGTCTGGGTACAATACAAAAGCTTTTGGCTCGTTTCTCTGGGGTGTTGTTTTGCTGTTATTCAGACTGCAATGATATCGATTGGCTCTCACCAGTAGAAATAGTGACAACCCCAAGCTCCCGATTTTGTGATTTTGGGGGAATGCCATCTAGAGCTAAAAGCAAACAATAGGGGGAAATAATCATCTTTTTGACATGGCTGGATTCTGTCCAGGCCATTGTTGGGATTACAATCCTCTGTTTGTGCGTTCGTTTTTACAGGGAGATAGGATCAGAAACGAACGTATTCCTGTGTACAGCACTGTCAGGGATTGTATTCTTGGGGGTGCTCTTTCCTTGCCCTTTGCCTTGGGCTCTATAGAGGTTCTCCCACGAGTACATCATCCACCCACCCACCCACCTACCTACCTGTCTACCTACCTCTGTCACGGGAGGAGCAATTTCTAGGCTCCTGATCCAACAGGAAGAGTCTAGAAGCTCCCTTGCTTAGGCAAAGCATAGGCTTGGGCGTTCAGGTCCTTCTCAGGCGTGATGCCTCCCTTTCTCTGCTTGGGCCCTAGCACTCAGCTTTCATGTGGTCCCTGTTTATACTCTGGACTCTGGTCATGTGCCTGGCTTTGTCTTGTGGAAATTGGGACTGGGTTCTGTCCATTTGCCTAGCCCTAGCTCACATGTTAGCTTGTCTGGTTCTTTCCCCTAGCCAGCTGAGACATCAGTGTCCAGAAGTGCCTGCAGCCCAGGTGATTCTAGTCTCAGACATCCCCCTCTGCCCTGGCACCTCTGCTTCCTCCTTGCAGAGGACTACTCAACAGTCAGGAGCATCCCCCAGCTCGTGGTGTTAGCTTTTGTCCAGCTCTCCCGGTCATCCCACTGTTTCCTCCAGCCACCGTCACTGACAGAGAGCTTCAAAGTTGTTTTTGTCTCATCTGCTGAGGATCTGACTCACCCCTTCAGACTTGGTGGGGGAGCGAGCGAGCCATGAGCCCAGAGGGGAGAAACTCTTAGTGGTGTCATGGTTCAGGCGCACGCTCATAGAAATCCTTTCAGCTCGAGCTCTTCAAAATATGATTAGACCAATTTTACATGTCTAGTCACTGAGGCTCCGGTAGATTGGGACTATTTCTATATGTGCAAAGTGAAGTGGAGAATTGAGGCAATTATCTTCAGGCAAATGACTCTGGGCTCTGTAATCAGTCCATCCTGATAACGGGAAAGCAGCCTTGTTCACCGTCGCATAGCTTTGAGTTAAACAGGATTCTAAGGTATTTGTTTGTTATTTGCTCTCAGCTTTGTTTTTCCAAAAGGCAGTCTGGTAAAGATCCGTCCTGCCCTGCACTGGCGTTAGAGTGTGTGGCTCCCTTAGCTTGCAGGACCCTGTCAAGCAGTCCGGGGGGGTGGGGATTGATCTGGATCAGTTTATAATCAGCACTTCCACAGCCGGGTGCATTCCAATGGCCCGACCTCTGCTTCCGGTGGAACCTCAGTCTTTGCTTCCCACCCCTTCTTTCCCTGCATATAAGGATCCTAGGAACGTTGGGCCAGGTGATTGACAAAGTCACCTCCAGTGCCAAGATCATGTAGATCCCATAGGTTCTACGGTGAGATATGAACCACACATGATAAAAAAAACGTCAGGAAACTAGGAGAATAGAAGAATAGGTCTCCTCAAAACCAGAAATGAACTCATTATAGGCTGGTGGTGAATTCTGGGCCCCCTTCTCCATCCATTGTGTTGACTAAAAAATCATTGTAAATTGGGCATTTTTCCCTTTGCTGGTCGAGAAATTCCCTCAAAAAGCAGCCATGACCTCCCTGCCAGCTCTTCCCTCGCGAGGGAAGAAGGAAGAGCAGGAGAAGGCTTTTGTGTGCCCCAATGAGAGTTCTGATTTGGTTTGAAGCAAGTGAGGACTTGGGTCACAGTCGCCCTTGAGAGCAGTGCAAGCAGTCAGGCAGCCAGCGCCCGCCGGGGAGCGAGGCCTGCATGCAGCCTGCTGGGCGCCGCGGGCCGGGCAGGGCCTTGACGCAGGAGCCCAGTCGGAAGGCTTTGCCGTGCCCACACACTCACACTCACAATTTAGAGAGCAAGATGAATCTAATTAATTCCAAATTGTGCTTTGGACTATAAGCACCCTAGGAATGAGGTGGTGGGGCTTGAGATGACCTTAGAAAAATATATAGAAATTAGAAAGTTTTTGTTTTGTTTAGGCTGTCAAGTAATCTTCATCTTTGTCACTTTGAAATTTTCTGATGTTGCTTAGTTATTTAAACCCAAAACTTCCTGTCCATAATTGAGATAAAAGGGTTTTGAAAAACATCTGTCTGTCCATAACGTGTGTTATGTATGTTTTTATTGATACCAGGTTAATTCCTGCTCCATTTGTGAAACAGTGACGTCCTTGCCCAGTGTGTACCATGACTGCTTTACAGCCTTAACGATCGTCGTTGTCCGCTGTTCTAAGACCTGGGGCTAGTGCCTTCTTCCTGCATATCATCTCAGAATCCTCGAGTAGTTTCCCCCATTTATTTTTCTATAGAATTTAAGAACCATTTTTATCAAGTTCTGTAATGACATTGGTGATATTTTGACTAGAATTGCATTCAATCTATAAATTAAGCTGGGAAATATTGTCGTCCTTTCTGTATTGTCTTAAGCCAGGAGTATGATCTCTGTCTTCATTTATTTGAGTTTCTATTTCTTCCATTAAGGTTGTGTGTTTTCTTTACATTATTCTACTATGTCATATGGAGTTTGAGATGTGAATATGTGGCATCTATTCCCCAAGCATTTGATACTTTTGTTGCTGTTGTGAAAGGGCTCTCTCGTTTCATTGCATTTTCAGGGTGTTGATCATGTGTTTATAGGAATGGTATTGATTTTTGTGCATTTTTCTCACGTTCTGCTACTTTTAGAACTGGTTGGTTTATGAGGCAGCCAGCGACCTGCTTGAGCCAACACTCGGGACAGGGCGCGGGAGCATTTGTGGAAGGGATTCCTGCGCGAGGGTGAGAGCTGAGTGAGGCAGTGTTGCCAGGTGCCAACCCACAGTGAAATGAGGAAGATAAAGATGCTGTAGTGGGTTTCTGATCAGGCTAAATTTATTCAGTGAGGGGACTCCTTTTGATGTGGAGGCTACAAAATCCTCCTACCTTTAGTATTTCCCTGTCATTTCTTTTTGAATCACAATAGATAGTAATTTGGGTTTTTTGTTTTGTTTTAAGATATTGGGGGCGGTTTTAGAGTTTTTTCTTTAATTTTGTTTTTTAGTTTTAGTTTTTTTTTTTTTTAAAGATTTTATTTTTTCCTTTTTCTCCCCAAAGCCCCCCGGTACATAGTTGTGTATTCTTCGTTGTGGGTTCTTCTAGTTGTGGCATGTGGGACGCTGCCTCAGCGTGGTCTGACGAGCAGTGCCATGTCCGCGCCCAGGATTCGAACTAACGAAATACTGGGCCGCCTGCAGCGGAGCGCGCGAACTTAACCACTCGGCCACGGGGCCAGCCCCTGTTTTTTAGTTTTTAAAATGACTTTACTTAGCATATTTTAAAAACCAGTTGGCAATCCCAGGTTGGCATCCCACATTTCTTTTGAAATTTTAGCATTCTGAAATCTCAAAATTAGGAACTTCCAATTCATGTCATCTTAGATGATATCTTTGTGATATTTGTGATATTTGGTAATTCTGGGCTTCTTTTTTTATTTTAAAATATATTTTTGTTTATTCTTTTGTATTCTTCTAGTCAGTCATGTCATTTCATTAGATTGACGTTTTTATTTCTTTACCTTTTTTCAGTTTCTTCACCCTTCCTTTGTGCCTTGCCGTGTTGTCTGAGAGTATGCACGAGAGAAGAATCCTTACTCCTTTACTGAATGAGCGGGATGGAATGGGGACACCCTCGATGTTTCTTTTTTTTAATGTCTTGTCTTTGACAGTGTTCAGATGGGTTTTAAAAGGAAAGAAAATGGTATCTTTTGGGAGCAAGTCATCAGAAGGCTGGGGGTGAGGGGCGAGAGGCTAGATTCGGACCAGACGGGCCTGGATGTATGTTTTGTCTCCCTCTGCTTCATGGGTGACCAGTGGCATTCCCTGTCTGGCCTTCTGTCTCCTCAGTTGCAGAATAAGGACCTTCTAGGGTCCGAAAAAACCTGCCTTCCAGGGTTGTGGAGATGATCAAATGAGGAAAGAAACAGAAAGTGCCTAGCAATGGTCAGTAACAAGCAAATGTTAAACTGGTAGCTCAACTGATGGCAGCTGTCATTGATGGTGACGATGGTAGTGGTGGTGCTGATGGTGGTAGTGGCGATGATAGTGGGTGATGGTGATGGTAATGGTAGTGGTAGTGGTAAAGGCCAAGAGGCAGGAGAGTGATGGTGAGGACTGGGAGGAGCTCAGCTAGGCAGAAAAAACCTAATGGAAAGTTGGAGAGGTCAATCAAGTTGGGTTTTGTCCATATGAATTTCCAGTTCTCTCTTAGTGGCCTCTTAATGATGGTCTTAGAAGCCACAGTTGATCAACAGAAATGCACTGAGTGCCCACTATGGGCCATACATTGTGCTAGGCACCAGAAATATGATGGTGAGCTAAATCACACTCCTTCTCTCCACTTGGTTCCTTCAGTGGGGGATCTGGAAATAATGAATCATCACATTAAGGAGGGTCTTGTTACATCCCGAGCTAAGGGCACTGGAAAAGAAATGGGTTTTTTTTCAGAGTGTACAGCAGAGGAAGCTGCCTTGGATTTGGGCACGTCGGGGAATACCGTCCTGAGAAAATGGTATGTGCACACTTGAGCTGTGAACTGAATGATGAGCATGTGGTGGCAGGGGCGTGGTGCACTTCCAAGGGCAGGAAGAGCGTATTCCCAGGCCCTCTGGTGGAGAGGAGTGAGTGTGTTAGGAGAAGCAGCAGGAGGTCAGCAGAACAGTGGGACACAGTGAGATGAGTCTAGAGGGCTGGGCAGGGGCCACCATTAGAGCCTTGTTGGCCCAGCAGGACAAAGTGCAGTCTTGTGTCTTAAATATCCTTAGAACAGTGGGAAGCCCTTGTCCTGATGGCCGGGAGCTGCCATAATCAAGTTGTCTGTTTCAAAAATCTCTCTGGCCACAGGGTAGGGGCATGGAATTTGAGGGGAAGCTAGCAATGATGGTAGCTGGGTCTAGGGAGGAGGTTGGTTCTGGAAATATATAAAACTGGTGGTGGTGAGAGTGGCTTTTAGAGTCATTTAGGAGGTCGACTAACAAGGCTTGGTGACAACATGGATATAGGGAATTGGTTGTGCGAAAGATGATGCTCAGGTGGAACTAGATGGAAGTCAGTGCCTTTCACTGAGCTAGAGAAGGGTGGAAAGTGGCCCGGGTGTGGGTTGGCAGACTGAGTTCTGACGTGTTGAGTGGGGAGAGAGGTAACCATGAGTTTTGTCTTCGACTGGTAGAGTTAGAAGTGCCTTTGGACCACGTGTGAAGTGTAGTCAACTAGGCAGGAGGATGTTGTGGATCTAGAGCTCAGTGGAGGTGCTGTAGCAGAATCAGGAAAAAATCTAGTGGCAACGAGAGTTCAAGAGAGGGACACCCCAAACTGAGTTTCCAACCACGGTCGTTGTGGGTAGCAGTCGTCCCAGACGTAGGGCTTGGCAGAGCGAGCCTTAGCCCAGCCGTTGTGCAGGCGAGGAAACAGGCTTGGAGGGGGCTGGGACCTGCTAGTTAGGGGCAAAACCATCTCTCAGACTGCATTTTTCGTAGTCCTAGTTGAGTCCCTTTTTCACTCCACCAAGTGGAGAATCTTCATGTAGAGATGGAACATGAACCAAGGGTTCAGATGTCAACCCCCTTGATATCAGATCTGTCTGTTTGTCAGCAACCAAACAGACAGTTCACAGCTTCACATTCTTTTCTTGATCACTTTAGAACTGACATTCCGTCGGCTCCTTATTAAAGAAAGAGCAAAGCAAGAGCTAGCTAGAAGGGGTTTGGAAGCTAGAAATAGAACCATACCATGTCCTTAATTATCAAGCCTGGCAAAGTCCATATGGCAGCCAGGAAGGGCTTGGGCAAGGTTAAAGCTAAGATAATTTGGTGAGTCTTTTGTTTTCTGCTGGTTATTCAAAAATCCAGCCAACTCCCAAAGTACCAGTTACTACTTAAAGCTGGTCCTCAAAATAGGAGGTTTAGATATAAGAACAAGTCAGTTTTTCTCAGTCCTTTTCCAGATGTCTACTCTGTTGTAGTTAAAATTTAATGTTTAATTACACATGGAATATGTGAATTAGATATAGAAGTTAAAAATACTAATACCTAGAGGCAAGGCCGAAGTCTGCTTTAATGACCGTCCGCCAGCCACGGTCTCCACATTCTCCCTCTCAAATCCCCTCGAAGTTACCAACTTCACATATAGTGACCAGTTTCCACAGAAAATGTCTTTTTTAAAACACAAGTGTCTATGTCGCTTTATGGCCTTTTCACTGGGCGGTGTATCTGGAGACCCTACTGCATTGGTTCGCCTAAGGTCTGCTTTGTTCTTTTAAATCGTCTGGCGAGAGTCACTTCCATGTTGATGTGCATGTCTGCCTTCCCCTTGGTCCCTGTTAGAAACAGCGCCACTGCCCCTGTCCCGGCACATACTTCTGTGGGCACATTTATAAAGGTTTCTCTAGGGTCGATGGCAAGCAGTGGAAGTGCTAGATCACAGCTAGACACACAGCTCTGGCTCAGTTGTCCTTCAATACAAGGCCACCAGTCTGTCCCCACCAGCAGTCCATGCATGTCTTTCCCCCACCCATTCCTCTGGCCAAGAGAGCAGTAGCACTGCTGGTGTGCCCAGACCTGCACGAGCAGGGAGCAAGGGCTCAAGGCTGTTTTCTTATGCCACTGGGTCTGTGGGGCCATGACCTTAGTGTCATCATTCTTGTCTCTAACTGGTCAAGAAAAAAACTGAACTTTGGTGAAATATATTTCAGAGATCTGCCACAAAGAGAGGTGGAGGGAAAACCTTACTGAAGGATGCTAGAAAAGGGAAGCCAAGCGTATCGGGGTCTGTGTCCGGTTTGTTTGAAGTTCTTCATGGAGTTGACTGAGCTCTTTGAGAAACAGCATCACTCAAACCACTACTGCTGGTGCCCATTCGAGAAGTCGCGCGCTGCTCTGATGAGAGCACCCCTCTCTGCGGGATCATTTTGAACCTGAGTGGTAGACCTCCTCTTGTAATCCCGGATCGAGACAGTTTAAATTGGGAATGGCCGCAATTTAAAGAATGCTCTCCAGCCTTTGAAATCGAGGTCCCCGTCTCCCCCTCTGATCCCCACCCTGCTCACTGCAGGCATAGACGAGTTAGTCATGGTGTGTAACTAGGGTTGCCATGTAATTTGTCATCCAACCACGACATTTTTGGGCGCGAAAGGCAGCACTAAGTGGAGGGATGCTGGGGTAATGCGTAAACCAGGACTTTCCTGGTGAAGGGAGTTGTATGGGCTGCTTGTCCTTAATACTAATGTGACTATTATCAGTAGTGATAGAATTATAACACTGTAATTAAATATATAAATGAAATAGTGTAATTAACATTAATGTTATTTTTAGCATGTTTAAAAGAAACAGCTTCCCATCTAGTTTAAGCTAGCCTCCCCTGTGCGGGGAGGAAGGCCTGCCGTGGAGAGCGCCTGTTAAACTGGGTGCGCCGTCTCGGTGGAAAGTGAAGTGTGCTCCTCTCTGTTTCTTTCTGAAGTCATTGTGGGAACTTAAGGAAAAGAGCAAATTCAGGAGAAAGAGAACAGGAAGTTTCCTTTCTTGGGGATCCTGCCCAGAGAGCTGAGGTCGGTCACCACCAGTTGTCAGGGGCTTTATTCAGCAGCAGTGCTGGGGCCTCTGGGCCTCTCCTTTCCTCTCTTCCCAACGCCGCCAGGGAGCTCAGTGCAGCCCTTTCTGGCGTAGCCACTGGAAGGCCCCGCAGCACAGGGCCTTGACCAGAGAAGGCTCAGTACAGCTTTGGCGTGGCTGGCCTGGGGTGTGGAATAGCCATTTTTAGGCAGGGAAAGTAGTCAAAACTTTCTGAGCTCAAAAGTACCTTAGAAATTAAAAAAAAAGTTTACAGTGTCTTAGAAATAGGGAGATCATTTTTGCTCAAACTTCAGTTATTTCCATACTACCTTCACGATTTTTGCCATATTCCCATACTATCACTACACTCAATGGTTTTCTTTAAATCGACTTGCTTTCTTTATGTAAATGAATTTGGTTTTAAAGGAAAAT